TAAATAATCTTTAAAAACAATTTGTAGTTTTACTAGAAAGGCAACATAACATGGCCACACAAATACTTGTACAACAGACTGGGTACTTTGCCTGGTGGTTAAGACACCCACATCCCATACTGGAGTACCTGGGTTCAATACCTGTCTCCAGTTCCTGACTAACTCTGATAATGCACTCTGGGAGGCAGCAATGACGGTTCAAGCAATTAGGTTCCTGCCACCCACCTGGGAGACTTAGACTGAGTTTCTGGCTCCCAGCTTCTACCTGTCCCAGTCCTGGTCATTATGGGCATCTGGGGAGTGAATCAGCAGATGCTAGCAAGGTCTGTCCCTCTTTCTAATTAAAAACAAAAACACAGACACCCCTGTACACAGCAACATCACTGACAATAGCCAAAAGGTGAAAACAACTCAAATATCCATCAACTGATAATGGACAAAATGTACAATGATGCAATTATAGCACTTCAGCTATAAGGAATGAAATTCTGATACATGCTATAGCATGAACGTTGAAAACATGCTAAGTGAAATAACCAAGACACAAAAAGGACAGATATTTTAGGATTCCATTTATATAAGGTACATAGAATAGGCAAACTCATAGTGACTACAAGTAGAATAGAGGTGGGGCTGGCATGGTGACGCAGTGGGTGAGCTGCTGCCTGCAACACCAGCATCCCATCTGAGTGCCAGTTGGAGTCCTGGCTGCTCCACTTCAGATAAAGCTCTTTTAATGTACCTGGGAAAGCAGTGGAGGATGGCCCAAGTGCTTGGGGCCCTGCACCCCAGTGGTTAGAGCTAGAGCTAGATGGAGCTCCATGCTCCTGGCTTTGGCCTGGCCCAGCACTGGTTGTTGCACCCAGTGGGGAGTGAACAGGCAGATGGAAGATTTCTCTGTGTCTCTTTTTCTAACTCTACCTTTCAAATAAACCAATCTTTAAAAGAAAAAAAAAAGGAAGTAACAAACAGGTGGCAGTGGAATAAATCGGGAGTTAATGTTCAACAATACAGACTTTCTTGTGGGGATGATGAAAAACTCTGGACTAGATAGTGGTGATGGGGCCAGCACTGTGGTGTAGCAGGGAAAGCCACCACCTGCAGTACTGGCATCCTATATGGGCACTGGTTTGAGTCCTAGCCACTCCACTTCCGATCCAGCTCTCTGCTATGGCCTGGGAAAGCAGGAAAGCAGTGGAAGGTAACTCAAGCCCTTGGGCCCCTGCACCTGCATGAGAGACCCAGAAAAAGCTCCTGGCTCCTAGCTCTGGACTGACACAGCTCCAGTTGTTGCAGCCATTTAGGGAGTAAACCAGCAGATTGAAGACCTCTCTCTCTTTACCCCTGACCCTCTGTAACTCTGCCTTTCAAATTAAAAAAAAAAAAAAGTGCTGATGGTAACACAGCATTGTGAAAACCTGTATATGAAATGCCAAGGAATCTGTACAATTTTAAAAATGGTTATTTTATGCAATTTTACATACTGGAGGAGTAAACGAGTGATGTGTTGTTACAAGGCTCAGACAGTCCAGAAGTAAAAGAACTTTGCCTTTGTGAAGTTTGAGGATGTTGCCAGGATAGTAACTCAAACAACAAACAACTACTTTTTGGTAAGAGAATCTTGGTGCGTTATTTTATGCCATCTGAAAAGGTACAGGAAGAGCTTATTTTTAAGATTTATTTATTTATTTGAGAAGTAGAGTTACAGAGAGAGAGAGACAGAGAGAGGTCTTCCATATGCTGGTTCACTCCCCAACTGGCTGCAGTGGTGGAAGGGAGTGGATTTGAAGCCAAGAGCCAGGAGCTTCCTCCAGGTCTCCAATGTGGGTGCAGGAGCCTAAACACTTGGGCCATCCTCTATTTAGCAGAGAGCTGGACTGGAAGAGAAGTAACCGGGACTCAAACCAGTGCCTATATGGGATGGCAGCACTGCAGGTGGTGGCTTAGCACACCGTGCCACAGCTCCGATCCCAATGATAGGCCTTCTAACAAGTGAAGTGCTCCATTTCATCAGCCATCCTATCCAGCAGTGAAATGGAACAATCAGAATCAGACACGTTTACAAAGGCTACAGGTAGAGGACCGTTTAAAAGGGAGGAAAACTTGCTCCGATTTTCAAATTAGCTTTTAAGAAAGGAATTAATTATCATTTTCCTTCACTGATTTTACAGAAAAAGGGGAGGGCGGGTATTTCAAACACCGACTTTCTACAAATAGTCAGGTTTTACTTAAGAAAAAGAAGCTTCATGTACTCCTAACCCTCCTATGAAGACTGCATAGTCAGGGCCCCACACGCTTTATACAGAAACATTTCTGAAGAGATGAAAATGTTAAGTGGCTGAAATGAATGCTGATTACAAAGCAATCAGTGATTCTGAACGTATTATGTGTACTGTATTTATGTACTGTAGTATGTGTACTGTACATGTACTTTTTCTCCAGAAAAATGTGATTGTTACAAGGTTGACTGTATTTTACAATGAAATATAACTGTCGACAAGATTTCTACAGTAAAAACAGACTGTTTATTGAAGCCAACGAAGAGAGCAAGCAGGGACTCTGGCTTGTCTGCTCCTGCTAAGGGACAAGAGTGCAGACCGGCCTGCAGTGGCTGGCTCACACTTTGTCCTGGTCTCCTCCAGTTTTCAGATTTCATAGCTCCCATGGTTATTCTGCCTTGACAGAAAGGTCACCATGAAATGCAGGTTTAAGTACTAAGCTACAGAGTCACCACCAAATAAAGACCACCAATCATGTTTGACCAATTACATAATTGTTGTATTCATTAAAATTTAGGGTGGTTTAGACTTCAATACAAGGGGTTAAAACTGGAAGGTAAATTATATATAAGACAGCAGCTCAAGTGTTACAGCAGGTTCATTCATGTGTTCAGTAATGTTTAAGTGTTAATACAGATCCAAAAATGACTTCTTTTCCCCAATAATGTTAAACGAGTTTCTATCATGGATTAATGACTACCTTTTGAATCAGTATTATTAATATGAGGGTGTATTTCAAGGTTCAAACAGTGGTCAGCAAAGAATTTCTCTACAATTTATTTGTATGCAAGCACAACTTAAAGAGTCTTACTTAAAAATAGTAAAATTCCCCCCTTTTTATCCATTTTCAGTTTTTGGTGCCCCTGAAATGTGCTTTGGTACTAACTAATCCAGAGTCATTAAAACATACATGCCGGGTCTGGCGCTGTGGTGCAGCAGGTTAATGCCCTGACATGAAGCGCAGCATCCCATACAGGCGCCGGTTCAAGTCCTGGCAGCTCCACTTCTGATCTAGCTCTCTGCTATGGCCTGAGAAGCAGTAGAAGATGGCCCGTCTTTGGGCCCCTGTACCGGTGTGGGAGACCTGCAAGAAGCTCCAGGCTCCTGCTTCAGATCAGTGCAACTCCAGCCATGTTGGCCATTTGAGGAGTGAACCAGAGGTTGTAACACCTCTCTCTCTCTCTCTGGCTCCCTGTAATTCTCTATTTCCAATAAATAGATAAATCTTAAAAAAAATAAAATAAAACATACATGCCATTGGGGCCAGCACTGGCATAGAAGGTTAAGGCTCTGTCTGCAGTGCCAGCATCCCATATGGGTGCCAGTTCAGGTCCCACCTGCTCCACTTCTGATCCAGCTCCCTGCTAATGTGCCTGGGAAAGCAGTGGATGATGGTCCAAGTGCTTGGGCCCATGCACTCACATGGGAGACCCAGAAGAAGCTCCTGGCTTCGGATCAGCCCAGCTCTGGCCATTGTGGCCATTTGGAGAATCAATCAGCGGATGGAAGATATCTTTTTCTTTCTCTCCCTCCCTCTCTCCTTCCCCCCCCCCACCTCTATGTGTGTGTAACTCTAATTTTCAAATAAAAAGGGGAACAGCACTGTGGTGTACTAGGCTAAGCCTCCGCATGTGGTGCCAGCATCACTTATGTCCTGGCTGCTCCTCTTCCGATCCAGCTCTCTGCTCATGGCTTAGGAAAGCAGTGGAAGATGGCTCAACTGCTTGGGCCACTGCACACACATGGGAGACCTGGAAGAAGCTCCTGGCCCTTGGCTTCAGATCAGCTCAGCTCTCGCCATTGCAGCCATCTGGGGAGTGAACCAGCGGATGGAAGACTGCTTTCTGTCTCTCCCTCTTCTGTAACTCTGCCTCTCAAATAAATAAAATCTTTAAAATAAATAAATAAACATCTTTTTTTTTTTTTAAAAAGGAAACTGGTCTCAAAAAAGTACATGCAGGTAGCCTAGAAGTGATATACAGCAACCCATTATTAAAAAAAAAAATGCTGCCAAAAGAAAAAGGGAAAAGGGGGTGAATAAGTATGTGAATTATATCTCAATAAAGTTAAAAAAAGCATTATAGGATCTTAGAAAATCTGAACAGTCTTGAAAATTATAAAGAAAATATAAATAGCTTCTAATTCTGCTCTAAATGTGCTGTAGGAATTTATACTTCGGTGGTAAAACTATAAAAAGGGGGTCACACAGTGGCGTAGCAGGTAAAGCTGCTGCCAGCAGTGCCAACATCCCATATGGGCACCAGTTCGACTCCCAGTTGCTCCACTTCCGATCCAGCTCTCTTGCTATAGCCTGGAAAAGCAGTGGATGATGGCTCAAGTCCTTGGACCCCTGCACCTGCGTGGGAGACCCGGAAGAAGCTCCTGGCTCCTGGCTTTGGACTGGCCCAGCTCTGGCCATTATGGCCATTTGGGGAATGAACTAGCAGGTGTAAGACCTCTCTCTCTCTCTGCCTCTGCCACTCTGCCTTTCAAATAAATGAATAAATCTTTAAAAAACATAATGCAGATGAAACGTGTACATTATACAAAAAATTTAAAATATCAATGATAAAAACATTCTTACCCTAATTACCTCAGCAGTCATAATTCAGAAAAAAAATCAACTTTCATTAGAAATGTTATTACTTTTACAGTAAAATGTTTACAAATTTTTACACACTATAACTTCAGTTGTCTTTTTGGTCAAGTCTCATTTCTCACCTGGAATCAACCTTCTTCTCCATTCTCTGTTTAACCACTTTTTGACAGAAATTCACCCGTAACCTGATGTGCACTTCTTGGTGTGCAGATTCTTCATGAATTAAAAAGGTTTTTTATCTTCTAACTGCAAGAAAAAAGGGAATAAAAGAGAGAATAAATAAATTATTTACATCCTCTTAGGAGCCACATTTCTGAATAGCTGCTAAATCAACACTAGATGAACATGGGAGGTCTTTCACTTAAAATATCCCTTTTAAATCACATTGTTTAAAAAAAAGATATTTTGGGGGTATGCATTTGGCACAGTAGTCAAGCAACCACTTGGGATGCCCACATTCCAAATCAGAGGGCCTGAGTTCAAGTTTTAGTTCCACTCTCCATGCAGCTTGTCGCTAATGTGCATTGTAGTGCAGTGGGATTAAGCCGCCACTTGGGATGCCCACATCCCATACTGGAGCCAGGAACTACACTTCTGATTCAGTAGATGACATCTCGAGTAGCTGGGCTCCTGCCACCTATGTGGGAAACCCAGACGGGATTTTGGCTCTGGGCTCCAGCCTGACCCAGTCCCAGCTGTTGCGACCACTTGGGAAATGAACCAGGAAATAGAAGGATAAGTGTCTCTGTCTTCTCTCTTTCTCTGGCACTCTGCCTCTTAAACTTTTTTTTTTTTTAGTTTTTGTTGTTGTTGTTGTTGTTACTTTCTAGGAAAGAAAGCTGAGAATAAGCTCCATTTTTTTTTTTTTTTTAAGATTTATTTACTTGAAAGTCAGAGTTACACACAGAGAGAAGGAGAGGCAGAGAGAGAGAGAGAGAGGCAGAGAGAGAGAGAGAGGTCTTCCATCCGCTGGTTCACTTCCCAGATGGCCACAATGACCTGAGCTGCGCCTATCTGAAGCCAGGAGCCAGGAGCTTCTTCTGGTTCTGCCACACAGGTGCAGGGGCCCAAGCACTTGGGCCATCTTCTACTGCTTTCCCAGGCCGTAGCAGAGAGCTGGATCAGAAGTGGAGCAGCCAGGATGCGAACTGGCGCCCATATGGGATGCCAGCAATGCATGAGGCGGCTTTACCCACTACGCCACAGCGCTGGCCCTGAGTAAGCTCCATTTAACAAGCATGACTGACTATCCAAGTAATGCTCCAGCACCTTCAACTTCCCTTCACAAGAATACCAATAGAAATTAAGATTTCTGGGGCCAACGTGGTGGCAGACCAGGTAAAGCTGCCACCTGTGACATCAGCATTCCATATGGGTACCAGTACAAGTCTTGGCAGCTCTAATTCCCATCCAGCTCCCTGCTAATGTGCCTGGGAAAGCAGTGGAGGATGGACCAAGTCCTTGGGCCCCTGCCACCCATGTGGGAGACCTGGAAGAAACTCCTGGCATTGGACCAGCCAAACCCCAGTTGTTGTGGTCATCTGGGGAGTGAACCAATGGATGGAAGATCTCTCTCTCTCTCTGTAACTCTTTCAAATAAATAAATAAAAAAAAGTTTCTTATTTATCCCCCCCTCAGGTCTTTTTTTTTTTTGAGAGGCAAAAAAAAAAAAAAAAGAAGAAGAAGGAGAAGAAGGGAAAAAGCAAAAATAAATAAATAAATAAATAAAATAAAATAAATTGAAAGGCAAAAAGAGACTGAGAGAGAGATTCCAAACCTCCCCCATCTTCTGATTCACTCCCCAAATGCCTGCCAAGGTGGGGATTCAAGCTGGAGGCTAGAAACACAATACAGGTCTCCTATGTGCATGCAGGAACCTAACCTCTTCAGCAATAACTGTTGCCTTCCAGGGTCCACACAGCAGAAATCTGGAATGAGAAGCTAGAACCAGGGATCAAAGCCAAGTACTCCAAAGTGGGACAAGCGTGTCTAAACTGGCACCTTAGGGACTAGGTCAAACACCCTCTCCGTGGATTAACTCTATGGTTGTCAAGGTTACTTATAAAAATTTTCAAGAGTTTTTGATCTGTAGTATATATTACTGTGCAAAGGTTTTACTTTTTTTGTGTGTGAATATTTACTTTATTTATTTGAAAGGCAAAGTTACAGAGAGAGAGAAAGAGGGAGGGAGGGAGGGACAGAGTTTCCATCTGGTGGCTCACTCCCTAAATGGATGTTAACAGCCAGAGCTTGGCCAGGCCAAAGCCAAGAGTTTCTTCCAGGTCTCCCACATGGGTGCAGGGGCCCAAGCACTTGGACCATCCTCTGTTGCTTTCCCAGGTGCATTAGCAGGAAACTGGATTGGAAGTGGAGCAGCCGGGACTCAAAGCAGCACCCATGGGAGGCCAGCACTATAGGCAGTGGCTATCCACTTAGGCCATAATGCTGGCCCAGAATTTTTACTTTCAATTGGTGATCATATGTATAAAAATATTAAACGTGAACTAATAAATAAAAGTTTTAGGTATTTCTTAGTACAAAGATTAGTGTTGGTTGAACTGTGTTTCAAAAAAAGATACACTAATATCCTAACATCTGATACTTGTGACTGTGACCTTACTTGGAAACGGGACCTTTGCAGAGATAATTAAAATGTAAGTTGGGGCAGGTGCTGTCTACAGCAATTAAGACACCTGCTTCCCATATTAGACTATCTAGGCTCAAGTCTTGGCCCTGGCTCCCAAATCTGGCTTCATGATCACACAGACCCCGGCATGTTCAACTAGCTGGGTCTCTGCCACCCACATGGGAGACCTGGGTTGAGTTCCCAGCTCCTGGCTCTGGCCTGGCCCAAGTCCTGCTGTTGTGGGCATATGCAGAGTAAACCAGTGGTTGGTTGGGAGCTTTTTCTGTGTGTCTCATTTTTTAAGTTTATTTATTTATTTGAAAGTCAGAGTTACACAGAGAGAGAAGGATGTGTGTGGGGGGGGGGTCTTCCATCCACTGGTTCACTCCCCAGTTGATCGCAGCAGCTGGAGCTGCACCAATCCGAAGCCAAGAGCCAGGAGCTTCTTCTGGTTCTGCCACACAGGTGCAGGGGCCCAAGCACTTGGGCCATCTTCTACTGCTTTCCCAGGCCACAGCAAAGAGCTGGATCAGAAGTGGAGCAGCCGGGACCCGAACCAGCACCCATACGGGATGCTGGCACTGCAGGCGGTGGCTCTACCCACTCACTACACCACTGCACCGGCCCTCTGGCTCCACTTCTGATTCTGGCTTCCTGCTAATGTGCATCCCGGAAGGCAGCAGGTGATGGCTTAAGCGCTTGGGTCTTTACCACTCAAGAGGGAGACCTGAACTGAGTCTGAGTGCCTGGCCCAGCCCCAGCCGTCGCCGGCATTTCGAGAGCGAACCATGGAAGCGCTCCCGCTCTCTCGCTCTATCACTTTGCCTTTTAAGCAAATAAACTTTTTTTTTAAATGACAGGATTTACAAGAAAGGAAGAGGAAGAGTTAGTTGAAAACGAGATGAGGGAAGATAAACTATGAGCTAAGCACTTATCTCCCGGAAATAAGTCAACAGAACGTGTTAAGCCAATCAAGGAATAACACTGCAAGCGTATTTATTTGTAATTTCTAAATAACATCAAGAGAGAGAGCTAGAAGAATGGGCACAGGAACTGGAGTGCAGGGCCCTTCTCCGTTACAAGCCTTTAACGTTGCTTAATTTTTTTAAACTGCTAATTACGTAGGGGACATGCATGTAAAACGTATCTTAAAGTAGTTTCTACAGCAATCGGCAGCGAGAGACCAACGGCCCCGCACTTCAAAAAGCGAGGAGATTCGTATTTAAGGTCCCGAAGTTTCCAACAGCTTCTCCCAGGAAGCCGTAATTGACACCTGCGGGCCCGGTGCTCACCACACACGGGTGGCTGCCACCCTCCTGGGACGGGCAGGGTACCCAAGGCCACCAGCTAACCAGCGGTGGAGCTCATTCCCAACAGACACTCAACTATACACATCTGCACACAGCCAGCTGATCCGCCAGCCAGGGACGAAAAGCCAAGACTCCCACCGCCCAGGAGCGGGCATTCATGGTCCAGACCACTATCCTCCCCCTGCGGGGGTCAGGTGCGGTCCCCGAGGTCCGCGGACACCAGCGTCTCCCTCGGGCCACGCCGGAATCCCCGCACCCCTAGCCCGGTCCCGCGCACGCCTGAGGAAGCTCTAGGTGGTGGGCTCCGGCTGCGGCCGGGCTCGCTCTAAACGCGCGGCGAGGCCACGCGGACCAGCAGGAGCGCCGGACGAGGAGGAGTGCGGACTCCGCGCGCTCTTCTCACCTCTCCAGCCCCGCGTCTGAGGAGTGTCGCGCGGCGTGCACTGTCGGAAAACAACGCGGAGACTCAACAGGCCCCGCTTCGAGGCACCTGCGTTTGCCGCGAGGCTCGCACCCACTCAGAGGCTGCGCACACGAGCCTTCCGGCCTGGCCCCTGGGAGAAGGCGCCTCGGGAGCCGGCGGACGTCCACCGGCCTCCTCAGGCCCGCGCGGCCCACGCCCGCCTTCGCGCTTCGCGCGCCTCCGGACGCCGGTCTCGCGCCGGCCCCGCCCCCGTTTCCCTGGCGACGCGGCGCGCGGCAGACACGCCCCGCCCCGTAACCTAGAGTTCGCGCGGCCTCGGTGAGCCCGGTGACACACCTCCCTCAAGCCGCGGCGGCGCCCAGGCGTGGGGAGATTGGCCTCGAGGTCTGCGGGTGGATGCGCTGTCTGGGCCACCCCGCAGACGGGTCTGCACCTACGTGTCAGCTTCCTACGGTTCCCGTTAGGAGCGGGAGCGACGACGCCCACTGCGGCCAAGTATTAGTGATGAGGCGGACGCGGACGGAAGTCCTCCTTCCCCTACCTGCGAACTCTCGCGTGAGCCGCTCTGGCTCCCGGTTCTCAATGGTTCTCTGAGGGCGCGAGTCAGAACCCGTGCGGGGCGCGCGCGCGCGGACGACGGAGCTCTCGGCTACTTGGACTTAGGGGAGGGAGCCCTGCAGCCCTAGAGTTAGAATCCTCTTACCTCGTCACATAACCCTTGCTTTTAAGACGTAATTAATAAGCAGCTTTTTTAAAATTTGGGTTCACGCTGATAATCTTTTTAGAAACCGAGTAGGGGTAGGGTAAACGGGACGTTCTGATGCCCTTGTCTCCAGTGCTTTGTGAAAACGTGAGATTTCTACTAGAGAAAGCAAAAGCTAGCATCATGTAAGTGTTTGAAGGATTTTACGGTGAAAACATGAAAAAATAACTTGGGCGACTCAAGGAACACAGGTAGTTCTAATTTTGCTCCATTTCCTAGTCTTTTTTTAAATCACCAAGCAAGTTTAGTGGGAGATACACCTGACAGACCAGGCGGGCATCTCAGGAAAGAACTGAGAGCTGGTCGTTAGCTTCTATTTAGTTTTTAAAAGTGTTTAGGAGAAATTCTACTTTAGCAGACCCAAGAACTAACTTTAGGCACCAAGTAGTTTATTTTTTTTTTTAAGATTTATTTATTTGAAAGTCAAGAGTTACACAGAGAAAGGGAGAGAGAGGTCTTTCCATCCACTGGTTCACTCCCCAGATGGCTGCAACGGCCAGAGCTGTGCCCACACGAAGCCAGGAGCCTCTTCTGGGTCTCTCATGCAGGTGCAGGGGCCCAAGGACTTGGGCCATCTTCTACTGCTTTCCCAGGCCATAGCAGAGAGCTGGATGCCAGGACTTGAACAGGCTCCCATATAGGATGCTGGCACTGCAGGCGGTGGCTTTACCCACTATGCCACAGCACCAGCACCAACAAGTAGTTTTAAAATGACATGAGTTTTTGGCTGGCGCAGCAGCGCAATAGGCTAATCCTCTGCCTTGCGGCACCAGCACACCAGGTTCTAGTCCCAGTCGGGGCACCAGATTCTGTCCCGGTTGCCCCTCTTCCAGGCCAGCTCTCTGCTGTGGCCAGGGAGGGCAGTGGAGGATGGCCCAAGTCCTTGGGCCCTGCACACATGGGAGACCAGGATAAGCACCTGGCTCCTGCCATCAGATCAGCGTGGTGCGCCAGCCGCGGTGGCCATTGGAGGGTGAACCAACAGCAAAGGAAGACCTTTCTCTCTCACTGTTCACTCTGCCTGTCAAAAAAAAAAAAAAAAAAGACTTGAGTTTCAAACTCCTAACCAATGCTGTAATATGTACTAGCTGTAAAATTGGCTTAAAAGGACTTTTATTTAAGGATAAATCCATGTACCTACCCCTGGAGGTACAAGCTGACTTGCTGGTTACTTTCTTCCTATCATGTGCCATCTGCCACCATCAACTTTGGCCAGTTTAGGACTGGGCGAGAGGCTTTTCCACGAGTAGTAATGAAGGTAATTAGGCCCATCAGGAAGGACTGGAAGGTAACAGCCCCGTACAGTAACAGCTGGTGCAGCAGTACTTAGCCTGGTGACAGGTTCTGTTAAGTACTTCTGGTATGTCAAAAGATGTTAGGCGCCAGAAGGCGGTGCAGACTTTGCTAATAATTTACGGTTCGGCCTTTGGTAGTTTGTCTTCCTACTCCTTAAAGTCTGACAGCATTAGGTGACAACTGTGGAACTCTTCAAACCCTGGCTTCTCAGAATAAGGGGTCATCCTTGGAGCAAGACAACCTGAACAGGAACAAGGCATTCAGCGAGGTGCAGTCCCCGCACTGCTGAGGGTGACGGCCCTGAACCCCTCGTTCCTGGCAGCAAGCTCTCACAGGTGCTCCTGTAAGGGCCAGGCTTCTGTTTTTCTATTGTTCCTGGATGGCTGATTCCCCAGACTGACTGAAGCTTTGACTTCCCTATGCCAAACTCTGAGCCCACAATTCGGTCTCAAACAGGCTCTTACAAATAATTTCGTAAAGCACTAGAAAAAAAAAAATGTTCTTTATTCTTTCCAAGGCCCAAGGGGGTTCCCAAACTGCTATTTGAGAATTGATTAGTTACAAAAGAGGGCATCCATAATTACAAGTGATCCTTCCTGCCAGAAACAATAGCAGAAGCTACAATGAAACAAGGATTTACAAGCTTCAAGCTCTTGCCTGGCACAGGTGAAGAGTTAATGGCTGCCCTTCCTTAGTAAATTACTATAATTCCTAAGTAGTTATCTTCTCCTTTTACAAGGACAAACAGACTGAGAGGTGAAGAAATGGGTTGGGACCCACATTCCACAGGACACTAAAGAGCCCAGTTCAAGAGCAGGTCCTGGGCCGGCGCCGCGGCTCAATAGGCTAATCCTCCGCCTAGCGGCGCCGGCACACCGGGTTCTAGTCCCGGTCGGGGCGCCGGATTCTGTCCCGGTTGCCCCTCTTCCAGGCCAGCCCTCTGCTGTGGCCAGGGAGTGCAGTGGAGGATGGCCCAGGTGCTTGGGCCCTGCACCCCATGGGAGACCAGGAAAAGCACCTGGCTCCTGGCTCCTGCCATCGGATCAGCGCAGCGCGCCGGCCGCGGCGGCCATTGGAGGGTGAACCAACGGCAAAGGAAGACCTTTCTCTCTGTCTCTCTCTCTCTCACTGTCACTCTGCCTGTCAAAAAAAAGAAAGACAGAGCAGGTCCTAACCAGAGGGACTGGAGGGCTTGGGAAGTTCGTTCCAGGCCCGTCACAGTAGCTGTGATGCCTTGATTTCATGTACAACTGTGGCAGTTGTAAAACATGCTCAAATTCTTTGACACTCTGCACATATATTTTAAAAAACAAAACAAAACAAAAGTCGTCTAAGTTCCCTTCCCTTGAATACAGGCCAGCCTTAGTGGCCCCGAGAGAACAAGCGTGGCGCATGGCAGAACAGACTTCAAGGCTAGGTTAGAAAAACGCAAGGCAGCAACTGTCTCGTTCTGCCTGGGGACACTCGCCCTTGCCATCTAGTTCCCACACCATGAAGAGGCTCAAGCCACAAGGAGAGGTTGTATGCGTGTTTTGGCCCACACCACCAGTGGTTCCAGCTCACAGCCACCATCAGCCGCCAAACACCTGTGGGCCGTTAGGTGATCCTAGCCCCCAGCCTCAGAGCTACCCCAGCTGATGCTGAAGGCAACAGAGACCCGCTGTCTCCACAGGAACCACTGACAGATTTGGGAGAAGAAATGGTTGCAGGGGGCTGCTGACGTGGCACGACAGGCTAAGCCTCCACTTGCAGTGCTGGTCTGTGCTCCAGCTGCTCCTCTTCCAATCTGGCTCTCGGCTGATGGCCTGGGAAAGCAGTGGGAGATGGCCCAAGTGCTTGGGCCCCTGCACCCAGGTAAGAGACCGGGAGCAGCTCCTGGTTTTGGATCAGCTCTGCTCTGGCTATTGTGGTCATCTGGGGAGTGAACCAGCAGATGAAAGACCTTTCTCTCCCCCTCTGTAGCTCTACCTTTCATATAAATAATTTTTTTAATGGTTTCAGCCACTGTGATGTGGAGTGGTTTCTCATAGCAAAAGAAAACCAGACCAGTGCTTTTCGTGGTGTGTTTTCTCCAGGGCTCTCTCCAAGCCTGGAAAGTCCCCTCTACCTTTCTGCTTACTAGATGAGGAAGTGGATGCCCGGCTCAGGCTTCACAGTAAGTCAGAGCCAGCATGTAACAGCTCAAGCATGGGCCGCCCTCACTACACCATGTTGGCAAGGGGAGTCGACTTACTTTTCTCAGCTTTAGGAAGAACCAAGATTCCAAAGGAAACTTTTGTACCCAAAAAAAAAAAAAAAAAAAGGCTGCTATTTGCTTATAAGCATGGAGCACTTCACAGATTTACCAGCCGTTCCTGTACAGGGGTCATGCTAAGCTAACTCCGTTTTTAGTGTACACGCTGCCCATCGAGCTCCTTAGAGCCTATTGAATCTCGACATCTGTCCCCTGTGTGTCTCGTCCTCCCCCCACAAACCAGCGCCAAGGATATAAATGAATAGCTTAACTTCCCACAGGCGGTAAGAGATGGGGCAAACTCAGGCCCAACTAGGCAGCCCTTTCTATCCTGCCTCCTGCCCGCAGGTTAGTCTTGTAAGAAACACGTGGACATTAACAAGGCGGAAAGAAACCCAGGGGCGGCGCTGTGGCGTGGTGGGTGACGCCGCCGCCTGCAGTGCCCGCATCCCACATGGGCACCGGTTCAGGTCCCGGCTGCTCCTCTGCCGATCCAGCTCTCTGCTGTGGCCTGGGAAAGCAGTAGAAGATGGCCCAAGTCCTTGGGCCCCTGCATCTGCGTGGGAGACCCAGAAGAAGCTCCTGGCCAGCTCAGCTCTGGCCATTGCGGCCAACTGGGGAGTAAACCATCGGATGGAAGACCTCTCTGCCTCTCCTTCTCTTTCAAATAAATAAATCTTAAAAAATAAACCAGTTATCAGTGTTCCCTGTTGCCGAGGGGAGCTTAGCGACCACCCCCCAGCCTGGTTGCACAGGTGACGGGGTTCAGAGGAAATCAGCCTCTCCAAGCCACGCAGGCTTCGCCCGTGGATGATCTCACGGCAGCTCGGCGGTCCCCACGGGATGGGAAAGGCGGGCCGGCGCCATCCCTGCGGCCCAGACCCCCGAGCGACCCTCCTCCGCACTGCCCACAAACCGCTCTCTGCATCCGCGCCGCCGGTCGGCCCGAAGCGCTTCGCATTCGCCATCCCGTCCTCCCCACCCCCAAGCCACTCTAGTGCTTCTTCCCCTTCCCGTGCAGGTCAAGGAAAAGATGCAGCTTTTGGGCGGGAAAGACCATGTCCAGCGAATCCGTCAGACGCCTTCACCAAAGGCAGTCGTGACGAGTTGACTCATTAATAATACAGCACCCCGTATTCTCGCTTAATCATAAACTCAGACAAGAGTAAAACTCAGATCTAACTCACACACAAAAAAATTAAAAAGCTGAGGTCCAAGCCCTTCAGTGAAAAAAAAAAATTCACCAAAATCACCAAATCCCCTAACGCAGATTCCCACTGCCCAAGCACCAGAGAGCGAGACTCCCCGACGCGAACCTCACAAGCTGAGCGGCGGCCAAGCTCGCTAGGCGATCGCGCCGGGGCCGCAGGCACGCAGGACCACCGCGCCCAGCCGAGCGGCGTGGCGCGGCTCTCCAAGCTCGGCCCGCTCCGCCCCCGCATCGCGCGTGGGAACGCGGCGTCCTCTCCGGGGCTGTCCACGGCGACCGCCTGAGCACCCCGGGGACGACTTCCGCCGAGTCTGCCGCAGCCGCCTCTCAGCAGCCGCCGTCTCCTCACGGCCGCCGCCTCCCGCGCCGGCCGGGCCCGCGCGGAGGACCGGATCCCGGGGAAAGGCGCCGCGATGTTTGGCTTTTCCGCCCGGCACCGCGGCGGACACCTCACATCCGGGCGCGCGGCGGCGAAGGCGGCGCCGGGGCCGGAGTGCGTGGTGGGAGTTATTAAGGGAGCGGGGTGGGGGGTGGGGTGGGAGGGAGGCGGAGAGGAGGGGCGGAGGGCCGGGCCGCGGTTACGGCGGCTGACGAGAGACAGCCCGAGCTGGTGGGGAGGGGGGGCGAGCGCGAGCGCGTAAGGCCGCGGGGAGCAGCGCTTGGACCGGCGCGGGCGGCGGCCAAGGCGAAGGGCCGCCGGACGGCGGAGGCGCAGAGGAAGGGCCTGGTGAGGGCGGCGGGGGTCTGGGGCGCCGTGCTCCCTTTCCCCCCCTCTTGGTACCATGGGGGAGAATAGGAACGCGGCTCCGGCAACGAGGAGAGACAAGACTGCTCCAAGTGTCCGCGTGCGTGAACGCGGGCCTTCGGGCCACGCCCGGGGGGGCGGGCAGGGGCGCGAGGCCCGCGGGGCGGCCGGCTGGGCTGGCGGGGCCCGAGCCGCCAGGCTGGGCCGGGGCGGACGGCGGCGGGCCTGCGCCCGCTCCAGCTCGAAACGCCCGGGCCGGGGGATTTGGCCTCCCGGTTGGCTCCGGCCCGCCTCCCCTCCGTGAGTACCGTCCCCGCCCTTCCTCCGAAGGAGGCCGCGGGGCCGTGGCCAGGGCCTACTGTGCGCGAGGAGCCGGGGGTTGTTGGGGTCGAGGCCCGGGGACGCGGAGTTTTCGAAGCTGAATCCGGCGCTGCCCTTTCCTAGTCACGGACGCCCCTGACATGGCCACAGGTGCGGCCGGCCCGGCCAGGGGCGCTCGGGCCCCAGCCCCGGTTCCTGAGTCCTGGATAACAAG